GCAACAACATTCCACAACTGTCCAAACTGGAAAACAAAAGAAGAGAATTTGAGCTGCCACCTTTGTACAACCCTTATACAGTGAAACCACGACCACCAGTCACCACTGGTCCTAGTGGGCCAAACTGATGAACTGATGAGTGTACAGCTAGGGAGTGTAACTGATAAGGAGCGCTAACGAACTTTACGTGTGTAGAGAAAAAGGGGAAAAATCTCATTGACCCCGAAAGAGCGATCTGATAACAATCGGTTTCGTCACCGGTTCAGTATCTCCTCCTCCTCCTCCTCCTTTCCTTTGCACCCAAACACCGTCTTCTACGACGTGCCCACCACCTGACTGTGCGCAGCTGCAGAAGCAGCCTCCTCGCGCAGAGCACACCGACAGTCTCTTCATCTCGCTCTCTCGCTCTCTCTCTCCTCTTTCTCTCGCTCTCTCTCACTGCCGTCGTGTACTTCTACTCTTTCTGCTGCTGCTCCTTGCTCCTGAGCTCACTCACTCACTTGCCAGCGATTCCAACGATCACTTCGAGATCAGACCACCACACACAAGCACTCTCTTCCATTTTCTTATCCCCACCACCAGGACCCAAGTACTCTCTCTATCTCGGAGAGTATTCCCGACGCTGTTCCTTTCCCCCCTTGAGCCCCAGGTAAGTCGGTGGGGTCGAGTGCCCCCGCGTCTTTGCTACTTTGTGGTCTGCTGCTGCTGTTGTTGTTGATGATCATCATCATCTTGGTCTCTTCACCGGAACCACCACAGAGCACAACTTTGCTGCGCCTTGCCTTTCTTTGTTTTGGTATCTCACCACTGCTGAATCCTACCTCTGACTGCCAACTCATCTGGCAAATCCCCTCTATAGATTCCTCCATTCCCATTCCCCTCCCCTTCCATTGCCTCCCCCTTTGCCGTAACACACATTACCCTAATCGCCTCTGATCAGCAGCAGTCCTCTCTATTGTTTTCTCCTCTCTGCTGCTGCTGCTGCTGCTGCTGCTCTGTGTCTATTTTCTGCCTGTAACCTCTTTTCCAGTTTCGGTAGTGTGTGCTTGATACCTTATTTTCCGCTTCTCTTACATTTGCCGTCTTCTTTTCTCTCTCTCCTCCGCCTTTGCCGCCTATTGCACTTTCCTCCTCCACTTTTTGTTGCTCCATTCAATTTTCATTGCACAGTACTACTTTCGCCGCTCTAGCGCTTGCATTTTTATTTATTACCCGTTCAAATTTCCTTTATTTTTACTTTTGTTTTATCCCACCATTCTAGAACCCCTTTGGCCTGCTCGGTTTAGTAGTGTTCCAGCCGAGTGTCGTTTCCCTCTCCAGCACGCGTGTCGTTTGTTTTTTATTTTTTCTGTACGTTTTTCACTTTGATTGTTGTGCTTCTACACCACCACCCCGCCATCATTACGTTGCACTTTGACTGTGGTGTTTTGGGGCTGCCCTTTTGTTCGCCACGTACTAATGTTCTAAACTTCTTTTCTCTCCCCTCCCTCCATTAGATCTTAGACTTCGTTAACTAACGGTTGTATGAGTCAAAGCAAGGCATCAGAGCGACCCACACTCCAAGGTCAGCGCATCAAGACCAGGAAAAGAGGTGAGTGACTGACTGTCTCCTGCTACTACCTTTTCTGGATCGTCGCCATTGAATCACCATCACCAGTCAGCTAGCTAGCTCTCTTGCGCGTTCAGTGCTCAATCGGTCACTCTTAGTGCTCTATAAATGGTCACTGCCAGTGTGTGCCTGTGTGTGTACTTGTGCCTGAAGCTGGGCTGATCGGCGGCGAGTAAGCCCCCTTTCAAACTTAGCATATACAGCGCGCTTAGCATTTAGACTTGACCTCTTTCTACCGGTCTTCACTGGCTGGCGACTGAAACGGCGGCAGCNGCTGATCGGCGGCGAGTAAGCCCCCTTTCAAACTTAGCATATACAGCGCGCTTAGCATTTAGACTTGACCTCTTTCTACCGGTCTTCACTGGCTGGCGACTGAAACGGCGGCAGCGGTGACTGATAATTGCGCCGCTTCTGCTCTTGCTAGTTTGCCCTTTAGTACCAGGGGAAGCTAAAGCTGTGAGCCCCAGACCAGACCGGACGCCTGCTATATTAGATTATCGCCTCTTCGTCTGTGAGTGTGTGCAATTAGCAGTGCAGCATTAGCATTTGTAGCTAAAATGTTTCTATGCTATTCCTTCTCATTCAGTCTGTCTTGTTGACTTATCTGAATGCCCTCTCTTCTCTCTTAGTTGGACACTTCAGCACTACTATTTATAGCCACTTGACATATCGATGCGCCTGTTTTCTCTCTCTCCCTCTCCACTTCAGTGTGCCAACAGTTTTCCTCTTTCCGATAGCTTGCTCTCTCTCTCTCTCTCTCTCTGTCTCTCTTTTGAATGACCTATTTCTCACCCCTCCGATTAGGCAGAGATAGACTGGTCTGTGTGTACGTGCGTGTGTCGGCGTCTGTTTGCTTGATTTGATTAGGTCAGCTTGAGCTGATGGTGATTGGTGGTGGTGGGCAATGTCCAATTGACGACAATGATGATGATGATTTGCCTTTGCTGTGAGCCCTCTTTAAACTGACACTTGTGTTTCCCTCTTCTCTCCCCCCACCAGATGAAAAAGAGAAGTTCGATCCTCAGGGATTTCGCGACCAAATCTTGCTCGGCATCAAAGAAACCAACGGCGACCTTGAAGCGCTCTCCAAGTACCTGGATGTTGCTGGCTCGAAGCTAGACTACCGCCGCTACGGTGAACCACTCTGCGACATTCTCATTGCCGGCGGACTGCTCGCTCCCGGTGGGACGCTCATCACTGACGGGCCGCTGGTTCCGGATGCCAAGCTGACGACCACCTCCACCACCACCGAGGTGTGCGTTTTTGGACGTCCTTCCGATGACGAGTCCATAAGAGCCTTCACCCAGGTACGAAAAAGAACTTTGCTTGGGAATTCCATTTACTAACCATGTACAATCTTTCCCTCCTCCACAGGTCTTTGTCCGTCTCATTCGCCGCTACAAGTACCTCGAGAAGTCGCTGGAGGAGGACCTGAAGAAGATCGTCGTCTTCCTGCGCGCCTTCACCCCTGACGACCGCCTGAAGTTGGCCAAGGTCTTCGCCTACCTGCTCGCCAGCGGCCACATCACCGTTTCGCCGCTCAAGACGCTCCTGGAACGCGACGAGCTGGTGAAGGAGGGCCTGGCCTTTCAGTTTCTCCTCGACTGCCTCGCCGCCTGGCAATCGGAGAAGGATGCCCCGAATGTGTGGGCCTCGCTGCGCAAGTCGTCGCTCGACTCTAAGCTGCTGGAGTTTCTGCCCCTCTCTAAGCGCAACCAGGAGTCCTTCAGCGGCTCGATGCTCGACAGCGGACTCGGTCAGCTGCTGGACTATCAGAAGACACAGCGCGTGGAGACCGTGAAGCGGGAGCTGGCGGCGGAGATCAACAACCAAATTCAGTCGAACGAGACGACGCCCACGGAGCTGATTGTCCTGGTGCGCGACTACATGACGGAGAATGGCTTCAGCGACGCCGAGGTGGTGATCATCCTGTGGAACACGCTGATCAGTCTGGTGGAGTGGAGCAAGAAGGAGGAGCTGGTGGCGGACCAGGCGGTGAAGCACATGCGCTACTACCT